GCTTTATGTCGCCGGTAATTTTAATCCTTTTCCCTGAACAAGGACTCCAATCGACCAGCTTTAGCCGCCAAACTGGCTAAATCTCCAACATCATGTGCTGTTAGAGCTTCCCGTAGCCGCGAATGCATATTCCTGACCACTAAATTCACTTTCTTCAATCACGGTTGGACAACGACTTTTCATCAGACGAATTCGTTCGATGAACTGGTACGCTGTTTCTTCTGGCATCATCTTAATCTCCAACAAATCTGTAAGCGACACCATCGGAAGATGATTAAAGAATCTAGCGTGAAATGCTGCTTCCAATCCTTCCCAGGTTTGGATTTTTCCGGCCGAAAGGTTAGCAAACCAAAAAAATGTTGTTCTAGTAAGGGATAGTCCAAACAATTGTAATTTATTAAAAGGATTGTTACCGACTTCCCTCAACTGAGCCATGAAACGACCTACATGCTCAATGGTTGATAACCATCTTCTCCCGAGAAAGCGTGGAAATTTGGCGGTCTATAATTTCTCAGGAGAAGGTGTTCGTTGATAACCCTCTCTGGAAAGGGTCTTTGGTACGTTGACCTATTCACCGTTTGAAAATTCATGCCAAAATGCACTCATAGCACTTGAGCAATATCTTTTGGATCCACCCTGGATGGATTATGATAAAAAACCGGAATGAGATTGTGGACCTGACCTCCCATCCTTTCGTCCCTCTCGAACATTGCTTAATCAATTCCCCTGGCACCCAACGAGATTGTGTTTGGGTATGTCAGGGGCGTTTTCCCTCTATCCCCTCTAATGACAGCACTTGGGATGGTGTTGTCCGCGTAAGATGACCCAACAAAGTTCGTCTGTAATCTGGATGGTGATGCTGCTGTGTTTGAGTGGGTTGAAGGGTTACCCTTGCCAATGTTTGATCCAACATGTTCTGCATTAAGTTCTGTTGCTCGCGCAACATTGCCTGCATGTCTGTGTCTGCTGGTTGTTCAACTGCTGAACATATGTCACCCAATCAGTGGGTGCTTGGGGAAATTCCCCCGTGTTAACCACGGAAGGTAATATTGTTCCCCCAGCCATGGTGGAAGAAACTTGAGGCTATGAACCTACCATATGGATCCTTCCGATGATTCAGGCCGGACCTTAGTCGTCTGAAATTTTCGTCTGACGTAGGATCAGCAATCTTGCCTCGACTCCCACTGTGGTCGCCAAATTGTTGATGCTATTTTCAATAATAAAAAGTAAAATCCGAAGATTAATTTTGAATTTGACTACAATAATATTTGGAATTGCAAATCCCTAGATACCGTACAGAATGTAAGAAAAATAAATATAAAAGCAACATATACTGAAAGATAAAAGGATGATCCCCAAAGCGAATTTCACTGAAATTGATGCTGATTAAAGATGCCTTTTGCCGAATGCGAGGTGCTTGTTATATGCCTTCCAAGTCGGTTATTGGATCGTGTGTGCCGAATTATCAGTCTGTTGCAACTGCCTTGAGGAACCGCCCCTTGGTTGCAACCGCCTGAAAAACCACCTTACGGTTGCAACTGCCTGAAGAACCGCTTTTCGGTTGCGTCTGATGTTACCAACCGACCTGCCGACCAGACAGACTACCGACTGACCAGCCGACCATACAGGCTACCGACTGATCAGCCGACCGGACAGGCTCCCGACTGACCAACCGATCGCACAGACTACCGACTGGTTGATTGATTCTCTTAATTGATGTATGGAAACCCAACCTCCTTCTTGGATTTCTCTATGGGCCCAAATATTGGAGTCCGTCTATAGCCCAACAAAACCCTAAAATATTTAATATCTAACCAATACTAATTAATTTAACTTTTTTTTTTTTTTACTATTTTCATAATAGTTATGCTACACATATTAGCAAAGTTGGGGAGAATTTTATTAATATTTTATTATTATTATTGTGCTCTATTAAAATAATTTTTATAATATTTAAATATGATAGTTTTGCTATTTAAATATTGTTATTATAGTATTGTATAATTAATATGGTCCTTATAATTATTATGTTTTCCATATTATTTTATTTAATTTCTTTTTTTTTTCACTGCAATGACTTTCTTGTCTCAGTTTGTAAATTCTACGTTGCATTCTCACCCCCATCAAATTAATAATAAAAAAATCAAATACAATAATAAAAAGTACTGTCTAAAGTGACTTGTCTATCGGACCTAGTTTGAAAGTATTAGATTCGGCTAGAGATTTACCGGTACGCACTTTCGGGTAACGGCTGTGGGTTGTGCTGCCGGTTGTGCTGCCGCACACTTATTCATTCTTTTACAAATATTTACACTATTTAAAGAATATAGTAATATTACAAAATTAACTTTACTTATTATTAACCATTAGATATTAAAATAAGAAGATCCAACTGTGATAATTTAATCAATACCATGATGTAAAATTAACCTTTTACTAGAACCGAACTCTAAACCCTAAACCCTAAAATCAATTTTTATTTTGGGTTCGGACTGTTTGGTTTGGATTATTCGGTTAATTGGTTCGGTTCGGTTCGATCCAAAACCAAATTTATAAATTTCAGTTTCAGTTCGGTTATCGTTTTCAATTTTTAATTTTGGTTAACCGAAAAAATCGAATATTTAAAAATAATAATAAATTATATATTAATATATAATATATATTATAATTTTTAGTATTTATATTTGAGTGTCTATTCAAAATATATATTAATAAATAAAAGTTTAATTTCTTCGGTTTTAAATCGAACCGAACTAGTTTGATCCGATTTGTTTAATTTTAAAAAAAAATTGGCTTAATTTCGATATTAACTTTTATAAATCGAAAAATGATCAAAATTGAAAATTTTGATTCGAATTGAACAGAATGACCCAATAGACACCCCTAGTCTGGAGTGTAAAAAAATAATCCGTAAGTTTGGGGTGCTTCAATAACTGCCCCTGTATTAAATAATTAAAATATAAATATAAATAAAAACTCAAATGCATTAAAATTGTAAATAAGAAAAATTCTAAACTACTAATTATAATTGTACGCCATGAGATTTGCTCCTTAATTGACCCACACTTCGATTTTGACATTCCAATGTAATTAACAGCACATAAACTTATTTAACAATAAAATTAGTTAATATTATTCTATATCCAATAATTTAAAATTTTAGACTCATATTTAGATAAAATCTCAACCAGTCATTAATTGAAAAAAAAAAAGGGAAATAAAATAAAAATAAAAAAGTAACCATCAATTCCAATACAAAAATTACTCTCCTCTCTAAAAATACGTAGGTAGATATAAATTTTCGCATTATATATAATTTGGTGATTAAAGCTTCTTCTTCCCCATCATTAACAACTCAAAAAATATATATAATTATATATATATATATTAGATATGGTGGATCTTCAGAAAACAGCCAAAATAAACATTGGAAAGAAGGACAAGGGCGTATAGATTCAACCAGCCAATCATTTCGACTTTCTTCTGTTACAATTTGGTAATTCATTGACATTATATTTTTGTTTCATCTGGAATTAATAAACGTATATATATATATATGCATGTAAGTCGATACGTATACGTATTATGTACTGTATATTAGTTCATTGCTATATTCCTTCAATAAACTTATACATTTTTCATACCACATAACATTACATTCCACAATTACCAATTGTTATTACATATATAGATCGAAATTACCTTCTTGATTTTTTATTTTTTTTCTACGATAAGAAAGATCACATCTTTAGCTTGAAAACCCAAAGAACAGATTTGGGAATCTCGAAGATAGCTTTTGTTGATGCTTTTCCACTGCACCCTCTCTCTCTCTCTCTTCAATATATATATATATATAGAGAGAGAGAGAAGAAAAAAGAATTTTGGTGTGTAGGTATCTTGTCCAAATCTGAGTTGTAGAATAGACCTCTGGATCTTATGTACTCGTGTTAAGAGATAGAGATGGATCACTACGTCTCTATCATTGCAGTGGTGAGATGATAAATAATTATATATAAGTTATTACATACATGGGCTGTCTGTGTTATGTTAGATATATATTTATAATTGAATTGAATTTAATAGGTAGCCTGCAGGCTTCAGGCTGCAGACAGGAGCTGCTCAATTTTAGCCTTTTGCATGCTATATCCTCTACTCTACTCTATTCTGTTCTATTGATCCACACAGCACAAAATGGTGATACAAATAAATAAATAAATAGTTAAATCAACATCACACTGGACTTTAGAGTATGATAGTATGAAACAGATTTTAAATTTCTTGTTGTTAATAATAATATTGATACAGTTGTTTATTGCAGCATTTTTTGGATTCATGAGAATGGAAAGAGTACCACAGTATATCTTAAAAGCTCTTATCCTTCGTCTCCCATAAAAGAATATTTGCAGGACTGACTGCCAAAATTGAATGGACATTATTATTACATTAACAAATAACTAGGGTTAGATGTATAGAGGTTATGGTTATATATTAATATATATATATGTATATATAATGTATGTATATGGTTTGCATGGAAAACAGTGGATATTTATTGATAACTTCTTTTATCCCTCTCTATTACCATAAATGATATGTATGTATATGTGTGTCTCTTCATCTCTTGATTAATTTCCCTTTTTTTTGGGGTTTGGGTTGCAACAATACCACCATCCATCATTCACGAAACAAGGTGGGGTGGGGTGGAGTGGGGTAGTTATTATAATTCACAACTGCATTTACTACCATCATTTGTCCTCTCCTCTAGCCTCTCTCCATTTTTTCTCATACTGAAAACCTCTTTATCCCTTCAACAAAATCAAATCCCTTTTTCCATTTCATCTCATATCGTCGTCTAAACTAATGTTGTAGGGGAGGGTTACACTTACTACGCATATCTCTGCAAGTTCAAGTTCAAGTGCAATGGTGGATGGGTTGGAGTGATTCTTCCATGTCCTAACATTACTAAGCAAACATAAAAAGAAAAAAACAGAAAAGTAAAGAGAAGAAGAGGAGGAGGAGGAAGAAGGAATGCCGTGTGGGTATTATCCATATCCTCCTGCTTTAGCAACTTACGAGGATGTAGTTTCCTCACGTGACCTTTTTATGGATACCCTCAAGAAGCTCCACTCTTCCATGGGAACCAAGTTCATGTAAGTCTTTTTCTTGTCCTAATACAGATAGTATATAATAATAATAAAAATAATAATAATGGGTTTAATTAGTTTGGTTGGTGTAGGATTCCGGTGGTGGGTGGCAGGGACTTGGATTTGCACAGGCTCTTCATTGAAGTTACATCTCGTGGTGGCATCGCAAAGGTATCATCATCATCATCATCATCTTCTTCATCTATATAATATTAAATGAATTTGTTGACAGGTTGTGGGGGAGAGGAGATGGAAAGAAGTGACATCAGCATTCGAGTTTCCATCGTCAGCCACCAATGCTTCCTTCATACTCCGAAAGTATTACGTCTCTCTCCTCTACAACTACGAGCAGATTTATTTTTTCAAGTCCAAGTCCTGGACTCCCTCTTCCCCTGCCTCTGTCTCTCCCGCCATCAAACAATTCCCGCCAAACACCTCATTATCATCATCATCATCAACTCTTCCGGTGAGTGGAGTGATCGACGGAAAGTTCGAGGATGGGTATCTCGTAACGGTCCAGATAGGGTCCGAGGAGTTCAAAGGAGTTCTTTACGAAGCTGAGGCTGACAGCGATGCATTATCATTAGGAGGAAGAAGAAGAATAGAGGCGGCGACGGCGGCGGCGGGGGGTTTGGGATTGGGATTAGTGCATGATTCTTCTTATTCTTCTTCTTCAAGGTCGAGGACCCGACGCAAGCGGCGGAAGAAATCGGAGATCCGGAAGAGGGATCCGGGTCACCCGAAGCCGAACCGGAGCGGGTACAATTTCTTCTTTGCTGACCAGCACGCCAAGCTGAAGCCGCTCTACCATGGCAAGGACAGAGAGATCAGTCGCATCATAGGCGAGTCATGGAACAAGCTCAACGAAGACCAACGACTGGTACCAAACTGCCTGTCTGCTTGCATTTATTTTTATTTTATTTTATTCTACTGATCTGATCTCAAATTGATTGATGGTTTGATTCAGGTCTATCAGGAGAAAGCTCTCAAGGACAAAGAGCGGTACAAGATGGAAATGGAGGAGTACCGGGAAAGGTTACGACGTGGACAAATCGTGCCAATACCTGCAGTAGCAGCACCGCCACCGGTGCAGCAGCAGCAACCCCAACCGGAACCACCACCACCGGCGGCGGCGGCGGCGATCGGCCTCAGCCTGGTGGCAGAAGCAGCGTACACTGAGGGTGAGGGTGAGGAGGCGAGTACTACAGATAAAAGCAACTTGGAAGAATACCAGGATGTTGATGACGACGACGATGACGATGATAGCGAGGAGATGAACCTGAAGAATGTGAATGTTGAGATGATGGCTGATGACGCGTCATTCCATTTGCAGACTCAGACACCGCCGGAGAAGGAGAAGGAGGAGATTGAAGACAGTCCTCAACCTCAACCTCAACCTCGTAGTGAAACTCAAACTGAGAATAGAATCTGGTTTTTGTCCCCACACAAACACAAACATAATGATGATAATAATAATACTACTAATAATCCCACTGACCACGTCGTCCAAGGAGAAACAATATCATCATCATCGTCGCCGCTGCTTCATATTCAAGTTCAACAAACATTCCCCTTCAACAAGGAATTATAGTTTGTTAGTGCTTATTTTTCTTACCCTAAAATGTTGTTCGTTTTCATACTAGTATGACCGGTTTTAGGATATATTATTATAATCATTATTATTTCTTTTTATAATTTCGCCATCCAAAATCATCTCCAGATTTCTTTCTTTCTTTCTTATCAATGTGCTACTCAACTAAAACTAGTGCACTGATTAGACAGAATCCCTTCCCTGCCTACCTGGATCCACTCATCCCATCTCAACTTCAACTTCAACTTTGTTTCATGTATGTCTATATATTATATTAATATTATACGCACACACCCATCACGTGTGTATTGGGCGGTGGAAGTCGGTGATCCTCTTGCGTTGTCTGCCGACCTCAAATTCGTGGGTGGGAGACGGATTGAGAGTGATGTTCGTAAATTGGTTTTTAGTGTCGATTCAGTGTGAAAAGTGTGGATTAAAAATTATATCAAAATTGTAATTACAAGTATTTATCAAATGATAAATTTGTCATGTTAACTAGTGAGTACTCGGTTGAATGTAGAACATTCATGTTAGGATAAATTCAAGTGAGGATAAACGTAAGCACATGAATCAATATTGAATTGAGATGCAATGAAAAGTAATTTACACTATTGAATTTAAGTGCCAGTTCATAATTAAAAGTATGGATGGAGGGGTGGAATCATGGTTCGCCGTCGCTGATCGCCCTAACCGTTCCAGATACATCGCGGTGTATCGATCGCGGCTTATCGGACAAATATCGGTCTATATGATTATTTTTTACAAAAATTTGGATTTTTAACAAAAATAATAATAATAAACAATTAAAATTCATCAAATCATAAACATAATCATTTTTTAAAATATATAATATTAAAGAACATAACCACGGTGGGTGCATGCCTCAAACTGTTAACCTCTCGAACTGATGAAGAAATTTTGTCTACAATTCCACCGTATACAACAAAATATTAGACAATACCACATGCACTCCATAAATCCTAGGACATGTCAAAAATATAACAATGCAAATATCCATCCCAACATAACAATGCATATATCTCAATGCCAATGAATAACTATAACAAAAACTCTTTATAGATGGTCTGGAGTCCCATCATGTGCATAAGCCTTGAAAGATGCACTGCATGAAAGACCAACAACATGAATGTTAAATGTTAGATTTTTGAACAAAAAAATAGCAACTGACTTTCATCTAGATAAAGATTTCAAAGCCTAAGATTGTTATATTGAAACCCAACACCAAATTTTCACCATTCTGGATCATTTCATGGCCGTCCCCTGAAATTAAATAATCTTTATTAGTTAAATTAAATTCAAACAACCTCAAGTTGTTACATATAAATAAAAATTAGAAATAAAATTTTATAAAATATTTAAACTATATTTATATTAACCATTTATACTTACCATTCAATACTTTGTGGAGTGTCGTGGAGCTTCAAAACCATTTCCATCTTCTGATCGATCATAGTATGAATATCCTTCTCTAAATGAACCCCTTCGATATACCAAGTAATATGGATAATGATATGCATTTGGTTGGTCCCACTCCTGTCTCCCCAATATATTACTCGAACTCGAATTATGGGAAGAATCTCCATAGGAATAACCTATATTCAAATCTTGCATATGTTCGTGAACTCCAGAATATCTCATAATATCTGAAAAATTTGAAGCATCGGCTTCACTTGAAAATTCTGTTAAACTATTTAGAAAATCTCTTTGAGCTTCTATCCCAGGACGATATCCATGATCAGTGCCTTGGGTAGCATAATAATCTTCATTTCCTTGAGCCCATCCCATATCACTTGAGTATCGACTATCTCTATAGCTCCCACTCTCACCACCACCATCATCGGCGCCACCACTACCACCACCACTACCATCATCACCATCATCATCATCATCATCGTTGCTATTATTCTTATCTTCACCGTTAATTGTTGAAGATGAAGATTCAAATATCATTGTTTTTTTTTTCTTGCTCATATTTTTGTTTTCTATTTTTTCTTTTTGGCCTTCTTTTTTCCATCGGCTATAAACTGAGATAAAAATATATCTCTGTCATCATCATTACGCTGACTGTCAATTCCATCCCCACTTTCATCAATAGCCTAATCCAACCAATTCAAATCACTATTATGAATAAGTGGAGATTCATTTTCTCTGACCCATTCATCTAAAATATCATTTTCATCAAAATATGATTCAAATCAACCGGTCGTAGAAATCGGCTGTGTCTGTCCTTTGCATAAAATTTTTCACCCGAAGACGCATGTTGTAGTGGACATAGACTAGCTTATGCAGTTTCTCAATAGCTAATCTATTCCAAAGTTTAGTATGGATCAAAGACCACGTACTCCAATTGCGCTCACAACCAGATGATGTGCATGTTTGATTCAAAACTTTTAGTGTAATTTTCCGTAAATTAGTGGCTTCATCACTATACATATTCCACCAGTCAGCTATTAAAAATGGTAAAAAAAAAAAATAATAATAATGCACCATATTATAACATGTTAAAAAAACATAATTGAATGATAAGTTTTATAATACATACCTGGTAAAGATGTAGCTACAACTCTAATAGCAAGTGCACTTCCAAATTCTCCAATTTTGTTAACAAATGTATTTATTTATAAACATTAATAGAAATCAATATATATATGTTTCTATAACAATGCACAAATATATATATATTTCGTGAAAGCTCAAAAAATTATTTGAAATATTAGTTCTAAGTTTCTCACATTGTTATCTCATTCATAGCCTTTACTTGTATATCCAAATCTGGCTCGAGTCTTTTAATAACTTCTTTTACTCCTTTTTGAACCTCTGATGAATCAAATTCACAAGTGCCAGAGTATTGAAGACCAGGATTTAAAAAATAAGCTGCATCAAATATATTTAGAATTAGAAAATAAAATAAATGATTACTACAATGTAAAAAAAAAAAAAAAAACAAAACAATTACCTGCAGCATGCAAATCTTGATGCAATTGGTTATACCATCTTTCATCGATGATATCCCAATATTGCTGAAAATCTTTTACTGCGGTTTTAATTGCCATTTTTGCCCTATCCATTGCCTCGTAAATGATAGGTAGTGTAGGTTTTTTTATCTTGATCAACTACTTGTAAAACCTTCACTAAAGGTTCCATGACCCCACAAACTTGACGTACCCGTTTCCAAAAATTTTCATTCAGAATCATGTCTGATATATCTCCAGCTTCATATCTTCTTCTCAAGGTATTATTGTACTCAACCTATTCTCTAAAAGTACACATTCTTTTCAAGTCAGTTGCGTATCTCAGAAGACTTTACATTGCAACAAACTCGGTTGCAAATCTTGTTATGCCTGGTCGCAACAGGTCTCGACCATTCGTATATGTTTTCATCAAATTAACCACTTTATCACTGTTGTATATAAATTCTGTAATTCTTCTGGCTTCTTTTATCGTATCCTTCGCCGACAATATATCTCCGATGTCTTCTAACATCAAATCAATGCAATGCGCAACGCATGGAGACCAAAAAATATGTTTCCTTTTCCTCATCAGTTTTTTCCCAGCAGCCTTCATACTAGCTTCACTATCAGTTAAGATTTGTATAATATTGTCAACCCCTACTGAATCCACAACCTTGTCCATTAGCGTGTAAACAAAGTCTGAAGTCTTTACCTTATTCGTAAAGTCAAACGAACTGTGATATATCATATCTCTGTCACACTACACCATAAAATTTATGTTTGGATGTTTTGTGCGAGTACTCCAACCATCGCACATAATTGTACATCCATGTGTTTTCCATTTCTGATTTAAAGAATCAACATATTGTACAACTTCTTTCATCTCATCGTTCAAATATTCACTCCCAATTTGCTTACCAGTAGGCCCTTTAACTCCAGGTCCAGCGGATGCAATCGTGTCAATTATTGTTTGATAGTAAGGACCACTATCGGCAGCGTGAAATGGTATAGCATTAAAATGAAAAATTTTTGAAATTGCTCTACCCACCTTTTTCGCATTATCTTTTGAAAACATACTTTTCAAAGACTTATTCTTTAACTGAAACATGTATGGATAAAGTTTTTTTGATGCAAACCTTCTGTTTTTCTTGTAGAACTTTCGAAAAAATTTCTTTTAGCTCCTTTTGTATTCGAACTGCTTCCTCCTACAAAGATAAAAAAAAATGATTATATATAGTTGTTATTTCAAAATAAAGATACTAATATTAAATGTATTTTTTATAAAATTCAATGAATATACTTGCTTTAAAATTCAAGCTTGGTAGATCTCCAGATACAGAATGTCTACGCGCTGCTCTATAATTCCATATTTCTGCTTTCAGCCATTGCTCTTTTTAATTGTTTTCTTTCAAGAGCATCTACCTCATCTTCATTTATTTCAAAAATTTCACATTCTTCCTCATCAGAATCATCTTCTAAAACGAATGAAATTGTGCAATGCTTCTTTTTTTTTTTTTAATTTGCTGCTCCCATACTTTTTCCTTGGATCAAGTGTTGTTTTAGTAACTCTCTTACTTCTTTGGAGCTCTCGTACACGCTTCAACTTGACCTGCCCCACCGTGAACAATTTATTCACAGTAATTGCATTTTGCTTGCTTTCTATCGTTGCTTATAGGAGTAGCATGATCGCAACCAATATCTTTATATGGTGTTATTTTACACAAACTCTGCAATTGAATAATAAAATTGTTAAAATATTTATAAATATTAATTTATTAGTTAATTGGACAAATTATACATATTATTTTATTAATAAATCAAATTTATACAAAAATTTAATTTAAATAACTACTTCGTAAAACTTAGACTTAGAATATATATTTATTATATTTATATATATAAAAACAAAGTTAATTTTAATAAAACTTACTTTATATAGATTAAATAAAATTAAATACAACCAAAATAATTAAATTTATCAATTAAATAAATAAATCAATCAAAATAATTCAACATAAATTTCAATCC